GAACGTTCAGCCAGAAACCGCATTGGCCCAACTCTCTATATATAAGAATCTGGGTACCTCTGCGTATCAAATGCAGGGCAAACTGGAGTTCTGCTCTGTGACCGCATCATACTTGAAATAGTTTCAGTTGGTTGTATAAAACACAAGATCAGAGCAACAGGCATGAACAGCAGGAAACAGTAACACTTCATGACGAACCAACCACACAAATCACCAGTAACAACCCATTACAAAATAGCACTCCAGAAATAATACAATTAGGAGCCAACCATTAAACATACAAGTGCACATAATTAAACAGTGGAGGTTCAACTACACACAGCAACAAAAGCTCCACTGTCCTTTTAGTGTAAATGTGCAAGTGGTTGCTATTAAAAATGTACTGTGGTGTGCTGTGCTGCTGCAGCCTGTACGATGGAAGCTGCCTCAGCTGCATGTCAGCCAATCTGGGTCAGAGCTAGCTCCCCCTCCCCTCCTCCTCACCACCTCTCCTCCTCTTTCTCCACCTCCCCTGAAACACATTCTTTCCGCCTGAAAATATTTGCCTAGCTACAGCACATACAGGAGTCAGCCCAGCCGAAAAAGTAACTCAAAACTCAAAGCTTATTATAAATGATTGATAGCTTCATCAATTATTTCCATCATTATCTTCCCGTTCGTTGTGGATGTTTAGTTTTTTTTGACAAGCACAAGTAGTTTGTGGTTGTTGTGGTCGTTCCTTCCAAGCTTATGTTGAGTGAAAGCACTGACTGTTGTCCTCCTCCCACCCACTCTTAGTGTTGGTCTACAGAAACATACCTCTGTGCCAGCAACATGCGTCAGCCGTTCCTTCTATCCTGGACTGCTCGTTAACTGAACAGGCTTAAGGGCTCTCTGTCTCACCGCCGGTCTCTTAGTCAGAGCTATGAGGTGGCAAAGCAGTATCCCTCTCAGCCAAGTGACGATGAACCCACCATGTCTGCGTGACGATGAACCCACCATTTCTGCGTCCCAAATGGCACCCTATTCCATACATAGTCCACTACTTTAGACCACGGCCCATAGGGCTCAGTGCACTATATAGGCCGGGAATAGGTTGTCATTTGGGACACAGACCCATGTCTGAAGGCAACGCTTTTCACCATGTCCTCACAAATCAGCCCTAATGCATTCTGAGGGGACACTATTCACCGGCTATAAAAAAGAATTTGCTGTCTGTCTGTCTGTCTGTCTGTCTGTCTGTCTGTCTGTCTGTCTGTCTGTCTGTCTGTGAGCCTGTTGCTACAACTTGTAGCTAGATGGTGATGTGATGCACTCCTGCATGCTGCCTTCCTACAGAGACTGTTATATGATACCTTTACCTAGCGAAGTGGGATCTGGTTTGTATGTGGAGAGACATGCACATTGGGGAGGCTTTGTAAACCACTTGTGTGTTGTACAAGTGTCACACCTGTCGATGTCGATCTATAACAGATAGAGTCAACAAATTGCAGGCTAAATCAACAGGCAGAGATTATGTTGTCAGTTGCCATGGCTAGACTAGTAGTCAACCTTTTGAATCCCGTCAATCAAAACTGTACATACCGTTACACAATTCTCTGTTACTGGTCAGTATCATTCACACCATCAACAGTAAACAAGGGATGGACATGGAACTCATAGACTACCTGTCTTTCTGTAAGGTAAGGCCGTCAGCATGAAGACAGACTTACTGTACTGTTCAGCCGTCTGCCTGCATGGGCCTAAGTGCTGCCCAGGGGAGTGGCAGTCTGACATTAAACTGCAGTGACGGTAGAGGGATGTATAAACCCACCAGACCAACCAAGGTGTGAGAGAAACCCAGTACAGCTACAGCTGTCTCCTGTGGACTAATGGATTGTGTTGATATAGGTTACGTTCCAAATGGCACCCTATTGCCTTAATAGTGCACTACTTTTGACCAGGGCCAATTGGGCTGTGGTCAAATGTAGTGCACTATATGGGGAATAGGGTGCCATTTGGGTAGCATCCATACTCCTGCTATAGAACAATTACCCAGGAGTTCCTGAGACCCCAGCCTGCATAAGCCATCTCATGAAGCAGATTATAATGATTTCCTGATAAAACCTGCGTAGGCCATCTCATGAAGCAGATTATAATGATTCCTGATAAAACCTGCGTAGGCCATCTCATGAAGCAGATTATAATGATTCCTGATAAATTGATGACATCGGGGGACCTGAGCCTCCGTAGAGCAAGCAGAATTAATCTCAGTGGGAGTTGCATGGGATTTTTGTTCCGGAATATGAGACTTATTGAGTTGACGAACATGGTCAGGGTGAGGTCAAATAACTGAACAAGTGAAGTGCAGCTCAACCATATGAAGAGAGGGGGAGCAGAAAGAGGGATGCATAACAAGTTGACCAGGTACAGTATACCTTTGTTACAATGTCATGCGTCAATCAAACAACACATATGATCAGGCAGGCTCCATTTCTCCCCACCTGTCTACTAAGAGTTTCACTCCACCTGAATTTACAATTACAATTTAGTCATTTAGCAGACGCTCTTATCCAGAGCGACTTACAGGAGCAATTAGGGTTAAGTGCCTTGCTCAAGGGCACATCGACAGATTTTTCACCTAGTCGGCTCGGGGATTAGAACCAGCGACCTTTCGGTTACTGGCACAACGCTCTTACCCACTAAGCTACCTGCCGCCCCCTATCCCCCTGCCTGCACAGATCACCATGGTCACGAGAAAGACAGACATTGTTTTCGTATTTCTGAGGTCATTGATTGCACCCCTAATGTCAAATTTATAACGTCTGTCAATCAGTGGCTTACATTTTCAAGTCAAAGAAACGTTTCTAATGGCCTTTTTAAGTGTATTATGCATTGACATTATTGGTAGCAGTCAAGCGTTAACCATTCGTGTCCACACATCTGATTACAGAACCAGAATGTCAGAAATGTGTGTTATCTATTCCCTCATTCAGCAAGTGTCAGCAAGTTCACAGTCGAAAGTGTAATTTGACTTCCCAGGAAATTGTCTATCCATTTTGAGGTCATAGACCTGAATCTAAATGCAGTCGGTCAAGAGAGCTATCAAGTGATAAGGGTCATCTATGAGGAATTAAATGTATTTTAGCTCCCTCAAAGGGCTACATGGCCTCATCTGACTTATGCTACAGTAGCTGCAGCCACCCAAGTAGCCAGAGTTATCTTTCTCTCTCTCTCTCTCTCTCTCTCTCTCTCGCTCTCTCTCTCTCTCTCTCTCTCGCTCTCTCACTCACTCACTCTCTCTTTCTTTCGCTCCCTCTCTTTTGCTCTCACTCTCACTCTCTCACTCTCTCCCCCCCCCCTCTCTCTCTCCCTCTCCCCTCTCTCTGTCTCTCTCTGTCTCTCTTGCTCACTCTCTCTCTATATACTGTAGGCTAATAAGGTGATATAGTATACATAGTGAACTTTGATACGAACAAATAAAAACAAATGACTAACAGACAGACAAGAGATTTAGTTAATATTCTTCTTTATTATGAAGTGACAATGCCTTGTTGTGTCTTGTGCTTACATCATTTGAATACTGACTCGAAATAACATTTTCCTCCCACCAGATATCTCCTGAAATAAGGTTTGTTTAATTCTTTACAGCTGTAAAAATGTTCAATCCAAAGGATTATTTACAAAGCCTCTTGCAATAAAGTATTATTAATTAATTATTTATTGGAAATACAAAACAGAGGTCAAGCTAATACAAGTTCTTATTTTTTCTACCTGAATCTATAGGTTCATTGTGCTACTTTTTAAGGTGGAGATGAAGTGCTTTATTATATACAAATCTGTGGGACACCAATGAGGTTAAAGAAAGGCATCTTGTCCATCAAGCTGAGTGTGGATGCAGTGCAAAGTTTGCCCACCTAATCCCTTTAAGTCAATAGTGGGTTCTAGTGGCTGCGTCCCAAATGACACCCTATTCCCTATATAGTGCACTACTTTTGGCCACGACCCATAGGGCTCTATATAGGCTATAGGGTGTTACCTTTGTATGACCTTAATGGGTGCCCTGTAGATTTGGATACATGTTCTGAGATGCTGGGAGCTGAATTTCAGCACTACAAGCCTACGGTCCTAACACTACTGTTGAAATAAGAGGCAGGCAGTGCATAACAATAGAGGAAAAGAGGATTTTATCGTTTTTTTGTTGTTTCACTAATACTACATTGGCATTTTCCCTGATGTTTTATTTTTTTGTATGACTATAGATGCATACTGGAGTAAAACATACCTGATTTTAAAAACTGTAGGTAATATTTCATAATAATTTTCAAAAATACCATGCATTAAGTGATTATTGCTTTATAATTCGTCATGTGGCTCCAAGAGAAATATTGCCAACAGATACTATCTAGATTTTAGAGAAACAAAATCATAAGCTTTGTGATATTGGCATAGATTTCATTTTTGCATGCAATAATTTCAAAAGGTAGTAACCGAAGAATAAGTGACAAACGCTTTGGCCTGTTCACGAGAGGTTGGCAAATTCACACATTAAAGTGCAAAGAATAGGTAGTGGTATCAAATAAAAACAGATCAATAAGTCCGACATACTGTATAAACAAATAAATATAAATAGCCTAATGTATAAATAGATAAATAAATAGATTAATTAATACAAACATAAATGGCATTTACCTCAACGGAGAGTATGGTCAGTTGCAGCAGTACATTATTATCCAACATTAAAATGTTCGACTTTTGTTTGGAGCAATCCAGTATTGTCATCTTCGTCAAATTTCAAAATATATGATTTCATATTTACGCGCGGTGGAAGGTATATTCTATCCACGTGACTGGAGGAGGAAGAGGCTTTTTAAGTGCATGCGAAGATCATCAGTAATTCCTTCGGGTGGATTTCAAGGAGAATACAGAAAAATTGTGCTATTATTGTGGTTCCACTGGAAGTTGAGATGGATTTTCGGAGAGGGTTGGCAGAACTAGTTAACCAAAAATATAATGTTTTGTCTGCACTTTTAATGTGGACGTCATGGAGAGTCATCAAGACCAGGACTCAAGGGCGAGAACGCGCCTTTGAAGCACGCGGACTCGTAGTGCTTATTCAGGTAGGACTTGAGAGCGAAGGTCTTGTCGCACCGTTTGCATTTGAAGTGCTTGAACGCGGAGTGAGTCTGCATATGTGCGCGCAGGTTGGAGCGGTCTGCGAACGCTTTTCCGCAGTGTGCACACCCAAAGGGCTTCTCGCCCGTGTGTGACCTCATGTGACCCTGCAGTAGCCAAGGTCTGCTGAAAGCTTTGCCACAGATGTCACACTTGTGCTTGAGGTCATGGGTGAGCAGGTGCATGGCCATGGCTGGCATGGACACGTACACCTTCCCACAGGTTGCGCACTTCTTGGCCATCTTGCTGTCCAGGCTCCGGTGGGTCTGCTTATGCCTGCTCAGGTTGGAAGACGTGGCGTAGGTTTTCCCACATTCGTTGCATGTGTGACGCTGTATGCTCCTGTTGGGGCTGCTGATTACTTTCCTCCGTGACCTTCCGTCCGTGATGTAAAACGCGTCCACCATGTAGCCCTCACTCACCGCGGTGTCCCCGTTGATGTAGCCGGAGGTGACATCCGACTGCGGGCTGTCAGGCTGGTCCGAGTCCGGGGCTCCGTAGTCGCTGTGGATGCCATCGTAGAGTGGCTCCGGAGAGGGCACTTTAATGGCACCGTCGCTTTCTCCATCGTAGACAGACGGGCTGATGTAGTCACTAATGTACCCTGGTGTGAAAAAGAACAAGATCTTAATTCAATTATTCATAGTCGCGTGGGGATTCTTCAAGTGGGAACAATCTGCTTAATAGACGCAACAAGCTACAGGCGGCACTTTTCCACTTGAGATCGGCTACATCACGTTATCACCAAAGCCTATGAGTCCTATGCAGTTTATTAAGATTTAGGCGAGTCTAACATGTTTTTATTTATCTGGAAGCACAACCCTTTTATGCGTTAGGCTATAGTTGCTAATTACGCACAGTGAGAACAAACATAATTTAACAACATAAGCTACTGAGATGATTAGGCTACATTATACCGCCGGTCTGAAGCGATGGATAGGCTAGTTTACACACCATCATGAAATATGATTCAGCCTTCTGAGTGACATATTGTCTAAATAATAGGGTTATACAATGTTAGGAGTGCGTGTCCAACAGTGTTCCAAGGCATAACGGGTAATATAGGTGTAATGCAATGTCTTTTGAACATGCTCGTGCATAAGTGCAGATATATGATGCACACTTGTGGGTTGTGGAGAAGTTTTGCATCAGCATCACAAGCGTCATTCCTCCCCATGTTCCGAGTAAGCTGGGTCCGATAGCCTATTTCTACATTAAATTATTTTGTTTCAAAAGCATACAGTCTAGAATTAGCCTACAAATATATTAATCAGATAATTATGAGTCATGAATGCAGCGCAAAAACGTGCAAACGTGGCAACAAAGGACACCGTGCATAATAAGCAAAACATAAATATAACATAATCAACATTCCAAACTCTAAATAGTATTTATATTTACCTTTATCGTGAATCCGTAGACTGAGGTCGGTCCTGGATCGTCCATAAGAACTCTCAAAATCACTAGATGAAAAATCATCAAGTTTCACCTTTTTAACCAGGAAAGACCTTGGCATGTTTCTGGTGCTGCACAGAAACAACAACCGTCCGGTGCAGGGTTACTGTCCTCATGCAACGCCAATGTAGAGCTGGATATTTAAAGTATCAGACACCCAGTCAGTCAAACAAACCCTCAGCCAACCCGTATTGCTTAGGTTTCTCTGTTCTGCCTGCAACGCCGTGTCTTGCGAAGGGGAGAAATGCAACTTCAGCACTGGATAGCTCCTTCTCAGAGGCTCGCGCAAGACGTTAGGAGCGAGCGGAAAACACCCTGCAGCGTGCAGCGTGCGCCTCTTTCTCCCCGGTGCCAATAGAGGAGGATGCAAAAAAACACTAGAGTAAAGCTGCTGTACTGTAGCCTAGGAGTGCAAAAAAAAATGGGCAGCACTTGTCAGCGTTATTTATTGCTTTCCAATTATTTCCAACTCTGATTGGTAGCCTATTTACATTTTGCGGAAAAATAATAATGTCTCTCTCTCTCTCTCTCTCTCTCTCTCTCTCTCTCTCTCTCTCTCTCTCTCTCTCTCTCTCTCTCTCTCTCTCTCTCTTTCTTTCTCTCTTTCTCACTGTTGATGCAGCCTCTCTCTGTGTTCTGTGCTTTGTGTCTGAAGACAGTTGATCAGCTGTTGGGATTTATATGGCGCTGCGATCAGGTGGGAGATGGAAATGGAAGTCCTTAATTTAATCCATCAGAAATCTCTGGGGAGCAACATTGGGCTAGAATGATTTATAGATGCTGTTAACTCGTCTCCCAGTCTGGTTTCATTTGTAAGGAGCGCACCACCATGTTCTTTGGAGATAAGAATGGAAATTATTATTATATTTCAATTCTTTCTGTATCAGTTGAAACTAGGCTTACATCGCACCTGCTTACATGCAACGCGTTGCATTTTATTCGTCACTTTCTCACGGTTTTTGATGGAGATTTTTTCCAGTTTTGCATTGAATGCATATTCTCCTGCAATTTTCTGATGACATAGAATTTCTTTGAAGAATTGTAACTACTGTTCACCCCTTAATTACCATACCATGTATAGCCTACAGGCTTTTGGTCTTTACGAAATCAACTGTTAGACAATTAATAATGCATCTCTTGTCATGTTAATATGATCATTACGGGTTCATGGTTAACTTTAATACTAAATATCCCAGCTTGCTTTCTATCTGTGTTTATCTTCTGACACAGCAGCACCACTAACCACTAAAGCAAAAAATTGACATATGGTTTGTGATATGCACATCGCAACTACATTATATTATTCAACCGATCACACCGGTTTACTGGAAGGTTATAGTCTCCTTATCCATCCATTAAATATCTGTATATGTTAGATGGAAAGAATATGTTAGATGGAACAAATATGTTAGATGTCACGTCCCTGTGCATCTATATATGCTTACTGTATTTCAGTAACATAACTAAACCTACACCTAACTAAACCTAAACCTAACTAAACCTAAACCTAACAAACCTAAACCTAACTATAGCCTAAACCTAACTAAACCTAAACCTAACTATAGCCTAAACCGAACTATAGCCTAAACCTAACTATACCTTAACCTAACTAAACCTAAACCTAACTATAGCCTAAACCTAACTATACCTAAACCTAACTATACCTAAACCTAACTAAACCTAAACCTAAACCCAACTATAGCCTACTGTATTTCAGTAACCTAACTAAACCTAAACTTAACTATACCTAAACCTAACTAAACCTAAACATAACTATAACCTACTGTATTTCAGTAACCTAACTAAACCTAACTAAAGCCTAATTCCCAAAGGTTGCACCTGTGTGTTTGTCAGAACTTGCGTAATGGCCTGCTTTGGAGAGCTAGGCGGTGTAAGGACCCGTCTAGTATTGTTCAACATCTGGTTTCGCTAATCAAAATGAAACATATGAGCAATTACCTTGAGACAGGCTCAAGGATTTCCAATTAAAGAGTACATTCACCAGCTGCACTGTAGGCATCAATACCTGTAGGCGTTTAGGTCCATGAGTAGATTTCACGCTAGACATGATGCTCTTTGAAGCTCACCTGCTTGTTGTACTGTGATTCCACACGTAATTATCATGACATTTCCAGGATTCTATCGCAGTGCAAAGTACAGATCTGTACTGTAGGCTACTATAGGCTACATGACACCACTGGTGACTTGTGTCCTGAAACATATGCTGGACAGCTCTGGCAGCTCACCTCTGGTAATGCTACTGTAAACTCTTGTAAACTCTTAAATGATCTATCACTTCAATCATTTTTAGGGATTTGTTGTTGACAGATGAATTGTTAGCTTTAATTGACACAGTCAAGTGAGGTAGCATGTGAAGGTGGCAAGCAGGCAGGCCTAGCGGTGGAATGGAGGTTGAGGTGGCGGGGATGGTGACGGTGCCCAGCTGGTGCCTGTGTGTGTGTGATGGCAGGAGGCAGGAGAGGGGCTAGGAAAGGGGCTAGGCAGGCAGGCTCTGCAGCTGCTGCTGCTTCCCCAGCACACACACTGCCTGCAAGCAGATGGAGAATGTCCTGTCACAGAGAGAGAGGCTGAGGGGGGACAGAGGCCTGTGGGGAGGAGAGGAGAGGAGGATTAAGGCTAGAGGAGGAGAGAAGAGGAGAGGAGAGGAAGGGAGAGGAGGAGAGGAGAGGAAGGGAGGGGGGAGAAGAAGGGAGAGGAGAGGGAGAAAAGGAACATTTACCTTAGTTGGTGTTTGTTTTTGTTTTGTAAAAAAATGACTTCTCTAGAGAGTCCTAGCCCTTTGATCCATTGGAAATAGTTGGTGTCACACCGTTTAACCCAAAGAAACTGTCTCATCAGAAAGCAAGACAAAGAGCATTTTAAAGAACTTTAATTAAAGCAGTTACACAGTTTACAGATCTATCTGAAACGTCGCCAATTAAATTAAATTAAAATCAATACAACTTTATTTATCCCCTCAGGGGCAATTAAGAAAGGCAAGTCTGTTTTACAAGTATCAAATCACACGGTGTTCCACATAGAAAATACCTACACAACAGACATCACATTTCCCAATCACTTAATCATTTACATCCCTGGCATCCTAAAAATGAACCAGCACACAAAAGACAAGGAACAGTATGGTGGAAAATAGCTTTCATTGATGAAATAGTGAGCCCCCCCCCCCCCCCCCCCCCTCCCTCTGTAAGAAAGCAACAGCCGGCATTACTCAAAGATGAAGGAGAATGCTGTACATTGTCCCTCAGTGTCACACCCTGGTGCTGGGACTCATTATTGTTTATCCAGGGTGTGTGCAGTCTATGTGTTTATGTTCTAGGTTGGGTGTCTAGGTTGTTGTTTTCTAGGTTTGTTCAATGACTCCCAATCGGAGGTAACGAGTGTCAGCTGTTCGGCTCGTTATCTCTGATTGGGAGCCATATTTATTCTGTATGTTTTCCTGTGGGGTTTGTGGGTTTTTGTTTCTTGGTTACATGTTCCGTATGTCAGTGATTTGTAACTTGAGAACTTCACGTATCGTCTTTTGTTTTGTTTTCGTGAGTACGTTTATTAATAAATTATGTTCACTCGCAACGCTGCGCTTTGGTCCGCTTCCTCATTGGTAGACGATCGTGACAGAAAAACCCACCACAAGAGGACCAAGCGGCGTAACAAGCGGCAACAGGACCTACCTACGCAGGATTTATGGGAGCCTCCTAAGGACTTTTGGACATGGGAGGAGATACGGGCTGGAAAGGGTCCTTGGGCACAACCAGAGGAGTACCACCGCCCTCGTGAAGAGCTGGAGGCAGCTGCAGCCGAGAGGAGGTGGTATGAGGAGGCAGCGCGGAGTCGAGGCTGGAAGCCCGTGGTTACTCCCCAAAAATTTCTTGGGGGGGGGCTAAAAGGGAGTGTGGCGAAGGCAGGTAGGAGACCTGCGCCTACTCCCTGGACTGACCGTGGAGAGCGGGAGTACGGGCAGACACCATGTTACGCAGTAGAGCGCATGGTGTCTCCTGTACGCAGGCATAGCCCGGTGCGGTACATTCCAGCTCCTCGTATCGGCCGGGCTAGATTGAGTGTTGAGCCGGATGTCATGAGGCCGGCCCCACGCAGCAGGCCACCAATGCGTCTCCTCGGGCCGGCTTACATGGCACCAGCCCTACGTATGGTTTCCCCGGTTCGCCCACATAGCCCGGTGCGGGTTATTCCTCCTTCCCGTACTGGTCGGGCGACGGGGAGCATACAACCAGGTAGGGTTGGGCAGGCTCAGTGCTCAAGGGAGCCAGTACGCCTGCACGGTCCGGTATTTCCGGCGCCACCTCCCCGCTCCAGCCCAGTACCACCAGTGCCTACACCACGCACCGAGCCTCCTGTGTGTTCCCAGAGTCCTGTGCGTCCTGTTGCTGCTCCCCGCACTAGCCCTGAGATGCGTGTCCTCAGCCCGGGACCACCAGTTCCGGCACCACGCACTAGGACTTATGTGCGTCCCCAGGGTCCTGCATGCCCTGTTGCTGCTCCCCGCACTAGCCCTGAGATGCGTGTCCTCAGCCCGGGACCACCAGTTCCGGCACCACGCACTAGGACTTATGTGCGTCCCCAGGGTCCTGCATGCCCTGTTGCTTCTCCCCGCACTAGCCCTGAGATGCGTATCCTCAGCCCGGTACCTCCTGTTCCGGCACCACGCACCAGGCCTACGATGCGCCTCAGACGGCCAGAGTCTGCCGTCTGCCCAACGGGGCCTGAACTGTCCGTCTGCCCAACGCCGTCTGAACTGCCCGTCTGCCCAACGGCGCCTGAACTGCCCGTCTGCCCAACGCCGTCTGAACTGTCCGTCTGCCAAGCGCCGCAGGAGCTGCCCGTCTGCCATGAGCCTGCAAAGCCGCCCGTCTGCCATGAGCCTACAGAGCCGTCCGCCAGACCGGAGCCGCTAGAGCTCTCCGCCAGACAGGAGCAGCCAGAGCCTTCCGCCAGACAGGAGCAGCCAGAGCCTTCCGCCAGACAGGATCAGCCAGAGCCTTCCGCCAGACAGGATAAGCCAGAGCCGTCCAGCCGGGATCCGCC